CACTGATAGAGGAGAGTATTCGCTGGGGGTTACCAGTATAATGGGATTGGTGATCGAGAAGGTTAAGCAACTACTTAGGAAATCTGGGACGATCTGTGGGGAAAGTATGGGTAGATGTGGTAAGTAGTATGGGCCCGTACTACTTAAAGCAGAGGACCCGTACTCGAAACAGGGAGAATTCAAGAGGGTCTAAGTAGCAGATTGAGAGAAGATAACATGGTTCGGGTACCATGATCCGTAGCAGATCGAGAGGTGGCCACATGGTTCGAGTACCATGATTTGTGGCGATTAGTGCTTCTAGTCTTACCAGTTATCCCGTTGTAATTAATTAAACTGAGATCAGATGTGATAGAGTGTGGGGCCAGAGGACCCTATCGAATGAGTTTCCATGGAGAATACCTTGAGAGGGAAATCGAGTTAGTTTCTGAGAGATTTTGGTGAGATGCCAGTTAGAGTCGCAAAACTCAGGGATGAGTAGAGATGATGTTTATTGGATAATCGTGGTCTGAGTTGAGCAGTTGACTGAAAGATGAGGTTTCATCTTCTGTGGCAAGAGTTGCAATGTCCTTGTTTCCTGACTGAAAGATGAGGTTTCATCTTCTGTGGCAAGAGTTGCGATGTCCTTGTTTCCTGGGAGAAGCAAAGAGATAGCAAGCTTTCGGTTTCAGAGTTTGGAGGTAAACCTCGTGGGGTGCATAGGGTTGCAACCTTTGCACCAGAGTATTTTAGGTAGTATGTTGCTGCAAAATATTTCTTTTACCTTGAGAGAGTCATTTGTGGGTCTAAAATGGAAGAAAATAAGGAGGTGCCTTATTAAGGGAGGCATACTTTTAGCAACAATCCTAGGTGATCAAGAGGAGTATATCGGGGTAGTGGCCCTCGTTCTCTATGTTGTGTGAGGTCTCTTGATTTTATGATGATTCCTGCGGTGAGAAGTTGGTCGAGGGATCAGAGGCGATAGTGCATTATTTCCGGAATGAGGTTCCGGGCTAATTTGGAACAGTTAGGGTACCCAACGATGTGTCGGTTTGAGGCTTTGAGATGTCTAGAGGCAGTCACTTTGGGAGGATTATGAGATTCTTGTCTGAGTTACGAGATATTTAGAGTTGCCTGATTCCATCGGGAAGATCATTGAAGTGATTATATGACACGTTCCAAGAGTCAAGTTTTATATACCTGGTGAAACAGTCTATGGAGTAGGTTGTTGGTATGCTAATTGGTGATGGTTCGAACCCTGAGTGGGGGAGAGCTGAGTATTCTATTGAGAGGATAAGTGATCCGTTCAACGTACGGTTAGAGACCTGGTTATAGAGATTTATGGTGGACACATGAGACCAGGGTTATTGGTGGGTGAGGCGAGGTGCAAGGCAGGGTGATATATGTGTATGTGCTTAAGGATGGATAAGAGAACCCACGACATGTGGCCATTGGCCAAAGAATTTTTTGTGGCTAGGGATTTTTTCGGGATTGTAATTGTTGAGTTCGAGGCGATTGAGTCGCCGAGTTCAGGGTGAAATAGTTAAGATTTGCGGGTATAAGTATAGATTGTGATTTGTACTTCAGAAGGGACAACAATTGATTTGTCAACCAATCTCAGAGTTGGTGTGAGTATTTTGTATGGGTAGTGATTAGTAGAGGGTGGAGCTTCGGATTTTCTTCAACTTGTTTTTAGTTATTGACGATTCCTTTATGTTTCAATTTATGAGATGCGAATGTTTTGAAGTTACAAGTTGTGCGAAAAGAAGATCGGTTATGAGATTCTGTTTGGGTACATTCCGGTATATTAGTATGATGCCATGGGTATGAGATCAGTACTTAAGGCAAGACATCGTGAGGTTCTGTGATGGTGTACCAAGGTATCCGAGTATGATGTCCTAAATTTCGGAGTATTTTGAGTCTTGTGTTTGAGATGACAAGTGGTGTACCAAGTATCCATGGTTCCAGTGGGAGCCCTTCGGCTATTTGACGTCAATAGAGATTATCTAAAATTGTGAATTGTAGTGATAAAAGGAGTTTTGTCATGGCGGTTACCGTCGAGAGTAGTGATTGATTAGATTTGTAATCGAGATTGAATCAAATTCAAGTATGAATTCAGGAAGAGTAATAACGATGAATATGAGAGTAAATAGAATATTTGTTTAGCTCGTATTATGCTTTTGAGTTTACAGATTACAATGAATAAACTGTAAAGACTGAGTGAAAAATTGTTCTCTAATCACTTAGTACAGACCCCTATTTATAGGAGAACAAAAGCATAACAATACTAAGGACTAGACATTAAGACTACTCTTTATAATGCCTTAGTACAAATAACATTACATTCGAAGACTCCTTCTTACGAAGACAAAATATACTTCATAACAATCTAACTGACTCTTCGACTATTACAACATTTAAGCCCTAACAATCTCCCCCTTTGGAATCAAGGTCGAAGTCTTCAAGTCGTCAGTGATTAAATGGCATACATCAGCACTCTTCGGATCGCCATGTACCAAGAGATAACTTTCTTTATCTGTTTCTTATCTCCTTCCGAGTTCTTCTTGCAGTGGTTCATACGAACAATTAAGTTCGTATATTGTGAGTTGGTGTATCTCTCCACTTCGCAAGTTTGAAATAAGAACTGCTTAGCTCTTCCAGCTTTGTTTTATCCTGCAAAAACGATCCCCAATGGCTTTAAACAAATTTCTCCATCTTCGTATTTGTTCAACTCATTCTGCTTTTTAGATGGCGCCATTGGTGCAGTAATGTCGATGCCTTTGACAATTGCGAGTTCGACATCAGTTTGAGCTAAGCACTCAAAATAATTCTCCAAATATATCTTAATGTGCTTGCACCCAAGGCTAAAAACATCTGGTTCTGTGTCTTGGAGAAAATAAAATGATTTGTCTTTGAGCATCAAGGCAATGTTGATTGGATCATATGTGTTCATCAAAGGAAAGTCTGCCACTGTGAATTCTTGTAACTTCCCACTTGCTCTTGCTACAGTGTACTTCAAATTTTCAAACTACCCTTCGAATATGACATCCCTTTTTATAGATATCACCTTCTTAATTTTCTCCGAAAACCATACTTCCTCTTGAGCCTTCACCAATAGTGCATGAAATCTTATCCTCATATTCTTTCCCTCTTCTGTTTCCATTAATTTTGTTTCAGCCTTGAACTGTGGCATAACGAACATCATTTCATTGACTAGGAAGTCAAGTTGACCAAAGTCTGTGTTCGTAACCACATAGATCTTTTTCGGAACCTTTTCGAATGAGTACATATAATCAAACATCACTCTGGACTCGATGGTTTCGTAGTTATAAACTTTTGCTGGATCACCCTTATCAACATTCGAACCATCCAGAGCTCTTTGTCTCATTATGCTCTGTACATGCCTCATTCTTTCCACCTCAGCTGCCACCTCAACTTTCTTCTCTTCTTTAGTCTTCTCAATCAAAATTCCTTTTCCCATGTCTTTGATGCTTGACAAAACCATTTTTTCGGATGAAGAAATATCAGCTTGCTTCCAAATCAGAACACCTTTCAAACTTGGTTTTGGAAGTGGAATTGTTGTGATCACTGTCGAAGTGACTGGACCTGCTAAAATAACACTTGGTTTTGTCACCACCTTCGAAGGATAAAGTTTTCCAACTACCTTCGCATCTTCAGTTGTCTTCATTTGTTCCCCAGCCTTCAATTGACCAATCTTTTCTCCCCCTTGCACCCCTGTGAAAGCAGGTGGGGCATATGTAACATTCGGCAGAAGGCTGGAAATGCGAAGAAGCGGAGCTAAGTTTTTGTGTAGGATGGCTTCGAAGCGAGAAAATTTTTGAGAAAGAAATTCTTGAGAAACGATTGAAGAGATAGACTTCGAAGAAAAGTCTTGGAGTTCTTTCAACAACCTGACCAACTCCAAAATTTTGTTCTTCGTTGGCAGAAAGAGTGGTCAGTTGAGGATTCATCTGCTCAAACAATTTTACACATTTTGCAACAGCGTCACAAATAATGTCAATCTTCTGATTTGTGGACGCATAATATTGTTGAACAGCCTGAACCTCCTTCGTCATATCTTCACGAAGTTCTCGGATCTACAAGTTAACATCTTCACGTACCTTCTTGACTTCTTGTATGAAGAGCACATGACGCTCCTTCGTAACAATCTTTAGATCCTTTAAATCCGTCACAAAATCAGATCTCAGAGAATTGATTCGATTCTCTGTAGAAATATCATTCTGATTAACCTTCTCAAGAACTCGACTCTCCGAATCCCTAATCAACCCTGATGCCTTCGAAATCACCCTTCCTTCCACCACCTTCATTAATGAATCAATTTCCATGCTTGTAACTCCACCACTGCCCACATCTGCTTGGGATTGCAAGATAGAATTCAATTTCGAATTCAAAATCTTAAACTGCTTCATGGTCATCAGCATGTGGTCAGGGAAATCTTCTTCGGCTTGATCAAAATGAAGAGCTTCGAACGTTCCTCCAAAGCCTTCGTTATCGGTTTCAACATCAGCAGATCTTGTTTGTGATTGGATGACCTTGTTTGTGTTGTTTTCCTACTTCGCATGCTGCACACAAACTGTCATTATCATATTTAAGAATGGGTAAACCTCTTACCAGATCTTGTACAACAAGTTTGTTGATGTTTCGAAAATTGAGATGTGATAACCTCCTATGCCATAACCAGCTTGTATCGGCAACAGCCTTCGAAAGTAAACACAAAGCAGGTTTGCCAACAATTGGAACTATATCCAATGTAAACATATCACCTTTTCGTTTCGACTTGAGTAAAACTTCTTTTGTCTCAACATCCGAAATGACACTTCCTTCTTCATTAAAAAGAACTTGATTGCTAGTGCCCACAACAAGTTGTGATACACTTATCAAATTGT